GAAAACCCCTTAACCCTTGATGCAGACTCTCACTTCTAAATCTCTCACCCTTATGCTAAGTGCTCTCTAGTAGTTGTGTTAAGCTTCTACAAGGCTTCAACACGTCTACTTATACCTAGTAGACTCAGCGGCTCTACATGCCAAAAACCCTACACCACAGCTTCCATTTTTGTCGCTTGATGTATATTTCCTATTTCCTTAAACTTTTGCTTGTTTAAGAAAATCTTCCATTCTTCCTGATCCGCTCCGTTATTCCCATCCAGCTTTGCTTTTTCTTCAAGACTTCCATTTCTTCTAGTCCAGCTCAGCTGCTCATCTGACTCCTCGTTCCGAGAGCTTCACTTGTCACGTACTCCATGCTTGTGGCAGTTCATTCTTCACTCCATCTGGTACAGCAACTGCGTCAAGCACAGCTACATCTTCAATCTCCCCCTTTTTAGCTTCGTGTGACTCACAAGCACCTGTTTCAAAACATACCACGCAAACCGCCACAAACCAACAAAGTACCAAGACAAGACAGAACGCATTCCATAAATAAAAACGTCAGAGTCACATAGTCTTTAAACAAAAACCAACAGAAGTCTTTAGAGCAAAACACACACGCTCCCACACACTTAGCCTACTTCTTAAACAAGAACCTAGACTATTACACAAGCTCCCCCACAAATTAAGCACCCGCATCATCTCCTGCCTCATCTCTTGGAATTTCTTCCCACCTGTTTTCTCTCCCTGCTTGTGAGCACCGAAGGTAAAAACAAAGATCAATATCCAAAAGAAATCACAAGAAAGAGTCAGAAAACTTACTTGCAAACGAGTCAATCACCATGTTGACTATCCCGTGAAGATGGTTCAGCACGCGACTCACATCTCGCAGGGCCATAGTGACTTCATTCGCACTAGCTGGTGCCAACGGAACACGAATTACCCCGAGAGGAGCACTCTGAGTTCGACCCGGCGCAGAATCGGATGGCCTGAAAGGATGCATCAGGAGGTGGCCCACGGAAAAGACCGAAGTGGTACACCCGGTGATGATGCAGGTTGTTGCTGAGGCGACTTTGGGTGTCGGAGTTGGGGATTTCGATGCATCAGCCTTTCGCTTCCCTTTTCTTTTATCTTTCTTTGCAGCTGCAGCGTCTTTCTTAACAAATTCCTCACCACTGCGGGAGTCCTTCTTGTAACGGACAGGCACAATGTGTGTCTCTCTTTGACCGATCTGAGGTTCGTGTTGAAGATTGAGAATCTTCTGTATCAGGCACGGAAACAGCAACCAGCGAGTGTCCTTCTTGATGATTTTGCTCATTAGGAGAATCTGTCTGAAAGCCAGCCTTCCAAAGTCCACCCTCACACCATGACTCAGCTTGTACAACAACCGAGCACGCTCCTCAGAAATGTGATGCTTGTTGGTTGAGGGAATCCAGTTGTATGCTGCAATGACAATCAACGCTGCAAAGACCGGTGGAAGATTCCTCGTGCTCAACCCACTCCAACCACTTCCTCCCTTCGACAAGTGCTTGGCAACTTCAGACAGGGAAACTGCATCAGCAACTGATTCTTTGTGAACCTCTGCCTCACTAAGTGGAGTCAGATTGAGAACCCGATTGATCCAAGCAGCAGAAAAACTATACTCAAAACCCCTCAGCTTAACACGAATCTCCTGATCCAGATCAGAAGATAGCTCACCAGGAAGCCCAACATAGAATTCCTGAATCACTTGTGAAACATACGGAGTGAGTCCCACAACCGTCGACTCTAACCCGCTGTCTCTAATGATCTTAATGTACCCCTATTCATCGGCTTCGCCTACATCAACAGTCCTTTCACACCAAAGTTTCCGTGTAGCAAAGTGGACATACCTCGCTTGATCAGGAGATGCCTGTGCTTTCCGAGACCGAGTCTTTTTGGTCCGATGTGGTGGTACTGACTCTGTAACTGGCTCCGGTTCTGCTTCTGGAGCAGGATACGGTTCATGTCTGGGTTTCTTGGATGGAGCTGGAAGTCTCAAAGCGCGCAGCGTCTTTCTTTTGCGTTCTGCTTTTGCCGCTTGCGCGCTCACGGAGATCGAGGTAGGGGATGCTTCAGCAGCAGAGGCTGTTCCCTCGTCTTGAGTCGTTCCGACCAGAATCGGAGCATCTGTTGGATTCGGCACTTCCTGTGGGACAGAGTGAGTTACTTCAGGCGAATGTTTGCTCTCAGCACCATCAGCTTCGCCTTCGTCACTGTCAATCTTCTGAGTAGCCTCTGAGACATCCTTGTTTTCTCCGCCACCTGCCTGCTTCGTAGAATTCGCCGACGAACCACTCTGAGCATCGCCATCATCTGCTGTGGCAAAAGAACCAGCACTATCCGCCGTATCAGCATCTGCTACGAGAGTCTGGTCAGGAACTCCTTCAGTGGATTTCGAGCCATCACCACTGTGCTCATCGATGAGATGAGGCCTCTGAGCATCACCATCTGCATGCGTCATCTTAGCTTTGAATCGGTTACCAATTAACCCCCTTCGAGTTCCTCTCACCATTGATGTCTTTCTCAGTGAGTCGCCTTTTTGAATGACGAAGATCTAGGGTTTAAAGCAGAGAGTGGTGCGGATTTCTCGGATGCCCACTCCTTGGACTTAACTCCCCCACTTTCCATTTTCACACATCTTTTCAACTTCCAGTGGTTTCAATGGGCTTTTTCCTTTACAGCAAGCCCATTCCGCAAATGTTTCCACACACAATTAGGACTTTGAGAATCCCGGCCCACTTTCCTGTTTCACACATGACAACAATACTGGGATACACACTGAATCAAATATGCATGCATTAAACCATCAATATTCACGGGCACTTTCATACATAAACCGATGATGAAGAACAAATAGTGATACTTGAACTATCACCTATGCACTGGCTTTTAAAAAAAATATTTGCACAATATTTACCAGGTTCTTTGAAGTGCAGTAGAACGAAACACAGCCTCTGACTCACGAGACACCTTTAGCTTGTTCTGATTCATGGAGTCTGGTCATCCCGAAACACGGGCTAGCTTTCACACTCAACTGCCTTTATCGACCCCTTTCACCAGTTTTCAACCTTTATCCACGAGAGAGAGAAGCTTTTAGAACCAAGGAGGAGTGTACTTTTGAGGAGGCAAATGAATTCCTTTTTTTTTTTTTTTTTTTTGCAATGAGCCTCCCCCCTTTTTTTTTTTTATTTCTCCCCCCTTTTTTCGGTTCAAGTGCAATGAGCTAGTTTCATCACTTGACTTCTCCGAAACTAGCTCAGCTTCCCTTCTACTACAATGAAACCTGTACTGGTGTCCAGGTGCGGTGGAAGTTGAGGCAGCTCTTTTCCACTCGCATCAGAACTCCAGACTGAATCCAAACCTCGAGTGTCCCCTTGAGTCAGTTTCTGTATCAGTCCTGCACACTTCGCACACATTCACATACCACAAACCCCGATCGAGTTTCTTAAGGTGACAAAACGATTAAAATCCAGAGGTTTTGTGAATAAATCAGCTAGTTGCAAATCAGTGACAATGTGTTCGATCACTACCTGTTTCTCCTCCACTAGCTCACGAATGAAGTGGTGCCTTATATCGATGCTTGGTTCTAGAATGCTGCACCGGATTCTTCGAAATACTGATAGCACTTTTGTTGTCACAGTGAACCAGTAGTGGTCCAGAATCCATCCTATAGTCTGCGGACATCTGCTTCATCCACATCAGCTGACTGCAGCAGCTCCCCATAGCTATGTATTCTGCCTCTGCAGTAGACAGTGAGACAGAGTTCTATTTCTTACTCAACCATGAGATTAGATTTTTCCCAAGAAAGAAACAACCTCCACTAGTGCTTTTCCGATCATCTGCACTTCCTTCCCAGTCTGCGTCACAGTATCCCACCAAGTGCTTGTTTGATCCTTTAGAGTACCAGATCCCCAATTCGACCGTCCCTTTGACATATTTGATGATTCTCTTAACTGCTTCAAGATGTGACTGCTTGGGTTTCGCCTGATATCTAGCACAAATGCCCACACTTAAGGACAAGTCTGGTCTACTTGCTGTGAGGTACAACAAGCTTCCAATCATCCCTCGATACACCGTGGGGTCAACATCTGTTCCATCTTCATCCCGAGTGAGCTTGGTCGTAGTGCTCATTGGGGTGTTAGCTTCCTTACACTGATCAAGCTTGAATCGTGTAAGTAAGTTCTTCGCATATGTGCTTTGAGAGATAAACACCCCATCATCAGACTGAGTTATTTGCAGACCCAGAAAGTACCTCAGTTCACCTACCATGCTCATTCAAATTCTTGAGTCATGCTGTGACAAATCGATCCACAGTGACTGAGCAGTTCCTTCGAAAATAATGTCATCCACGTAGATTTGCACAATCATGATCTGCTTGTTTTGCTCATAGATGAACAGGGTCTTGTCAACGCTTCCCCTAACATACCCTTGTTTCACGAGGAATCCAGTGAGTCTCTCATACCACGCTCGTGAAGCCTGCTTCAAGCCATACAGCGCCTTCTTCAACTTATACACGTGCTGTGGATATTGAGCATCTTCGAACCCCTTTGGCTGTTCCACATACACCTTTTCTTGAAGCACTCCATTGAGGAACGCACTTTTGACATCCATCTGATATACCCTAAAGTTTAGGATACAAGCCATCCCCAAGAATAGTCTGATCGACTCAAGTCTTGCCACAGGGGCAAAAGTCTCTTCGAAATCGACTCCCTCGACTTGTGAAAACCCTTGGGCAACCAGTCTTGCTTTGTTACGCACCACCACTCCGTTCTCATCGATCTTGTTTTTAAAGATCCACTTTGTTCCCACCACATTGCCTTCAAGAGGTCTTGGAACCAGCTCCCACACGTCGTTTCGCATGAACTGCTCTAGTTCTTGTTCCATGGCTATGATCCAGAATTCATCACCAACTGCTTAGATTTAGGTTCAATCACAGAGACAAAGCATGCAAACAGGACCATCTCTGAGAATTTTCCAACCATCTTCTTGAAGTCCAACTAAACTCCCCGAGTCCTTCTTCCTTCATTCACATCACCAATGAGATCTGAAGGTGAGTGATTTCGGTGAACTTGCTGAACCTCAGATGGTGGAATCACAGCTGCTTGATCACCTTCCTCAGCGTGAGCTGCTGACCGATCTTCTTCCTCTTTGTCTGAGTCACTGCCTGTAACAGTTCCTTCCCACTTAGTGCAAGCATAGTCATCAAACACCACATTCACCGACTCGATCAAAACTTTTGACCTGATGTTGAATACCCTGAATGCAGTGCTATTTCCCGAGTATCCCAGAAATATTCCTTCATCGCTTCTTGAGTCAAACTTTCCGAGATAGTCTTTGTCGTTAAGGATATAACACCTGCAACCAAAGACATGAAAGTAACTCAAGTTAGGAGTTTTTCCTTTCCACATTTCATAAGGTGTCTTACTAGTTTCCGTTCTGACGTAGACTCAGTTTATGATGTAGCAAGCTGTGTTGACTGCTTCAGCCCAGAACTTCTTCGACACTTTTTTCCCATGTATCAATGCTCGTGCCATCTCTTGAAGTGTTCTGTTCTTTCTCTCTACAACCCCATTCTGTTGTGGGGTCTTGGGCGCTGAGAACTGATGAGCAATGCCGTGGCTTTCACAGAAAAGTTTCATGGATTCATTCTGAAACTCACCACCATGATCACTCCGAATGTTTCTTATGCCACCACGCTGATTCAGGAGTTACAGTGCCAATATTCTGAAGCTTTCAGCTGTCTTAGTCTTTTCACGAAGAAATCTGACCCAGGTGTACTGAGAAAAATCATCCACAAGGACGAACACATAGCGTTTGCCTCCCAAACTCTCGGTTTGAACTGGTCCCATTAGATCCATGTGAACCAGATTAAGAACTGCTTTTGACTGTACATCAGGAACCCTCTTGTGTTGAATTTTGACTTGCTTGCCTTGAGTGCACGGTCCACAGACCGATTTATCAACTCCCTTGACTCTAGGCACCCCTCTGACGATTTCCTTGTCAACCAGATTGGCAAGACTCCTGACGTTCATGTGACCCAATCGTTGATGCCACAAATGTAGATCATCGCATGCCGTGAAGCACTTTTCTTCTTTACAAGAGGAATTCCACATGTAACAGTTGTTTCCAGATCTAATTCCTTGCAGAATGACCTTTCCGACGTCATCCACAGCTCTGCAGTCTCTTTTGGTGAACACAACTGTCAGTCCCTCATCACACAGTTGGCTTATGCTGATCAGATTTGCTTGCAATCCATGCACCAGATAAACATTTGCTAGTTGAGGTTGACCGATTTCCCTTGTCCTGCCCTTTCCTTGGATTGCACCAATGCTTCCATCACCAAACGTGACCTTGCCTCCTCTGATCTTTTTCAGACTCTGTAGGAACCCTTTGGTACCAGTCATGTGTCGTGAGCAGCCACTATCGAAGTACCATGTGGCAGATTGATCATCATCCTCTGTTACAAGAGCCATGTTGCACTTAAACCCCAATCCTGGGTTCGTGCTCTGCGTAGGCACTCCCCTCTGAGATTGTCTTGGAGTTGCCTGTCTTAGATCACCTTTCCTGGCCCAAATCTGGTTTCTGAACCCATTCCAGGTAAATCTCCCGAGTTCCTTCAGCTTCCTCACTTGCTTCCAGAACCTGTAGCACTACAAGAAAACAATCGCTTTCCAACGGTCCATTACGACGGTTTTCAAATCGTCGCAAGAGTACAACGATTTTACGACGATCTAACGTCTAATTTTAAAACCATCGTATATAAAAATCGTCGTAAACTCGACGTACAATTTACGACGAATTACGACGATTATACATCGATAACGAGAGATTTGCTAGTAAATGTAAAATCGTCGTAAATTCGTCGCAAAATTACGACGACTACATTTCGATGTACATGTTACGACGATTGTACGTCGAAAAAGGAGTTAGGTGAAAAACATTTAAAACATGTTTACCTAACAATTGTAGATAAAAAATTTTATCGCAAAATCGTCGTAAACTCGTCGTAATATTATTGTTGAATGTAAAACCGTCGTAAAAAGTCGTCGTAAAAGCGTTGTAAAGCCCAAAATTTTCCTATAAATAGATCTTCATTCCTTCATTCAATCACAACACATCATCATTTAAACATAAGAGCATCTTCATCTTGGAGACCCATTGTAGGTCTCTTAAATTTTAGTATAGTGTTGTAAATCCTTATATATTGGGTTGTCCATTGCTGAAAACCCGAATTAAGAGTTATATTACTTTGAATCAAAGAAGTAATAATATTATAAGGTTAATTTACTCATTCACGTGGCTAGACGTGACACAAGAGACCACCTCCTTTATTGTCTAATCAATAAAAAGAGATAGTATTTTGAGTTTATTTTCAAGATGTCTATATACAAGTTAAGAAGTTGGATGTATATGCGTAAAGATTCAGATGGGGCGTTGACAGAAGAGTTCAAGAACGGGTTAGAAATATTTATGTATCAGGCTACAAATATGGAGAGAACGAAAGATAGTGGGAAGATGTTTTGTCCTTGTTTGAAATGCAAGAATACGAGGTATACACTAACCAAAACCGTGTGGACGCATTTATTAAATAGAGGGTTTATGCCGCAATATTTTGTTTGGTATCTACATGGAGAAGGATATGGCAGTAATACTCATGGGAATGCTCGTAGTAGTAGTAATTATCAAAGTCATGTTGATATTGATGAATCGAATTATGGTCATCAGCCTAATCAGTATCAATATGACCAAAGTGTAGATCATGATAGGATGCACGAAATGGTGACTGATGCATTTCATGAAACGCATACGGGTAATGCTATTGAGGAACCTAACGTAGATGCCAAACGATTTTATGATTTGTTAGACAATGCTAATCAGCCAATCTACGAAGGATGTAGAGAAGGCTTGTCTAAATTATCGTTGGCAGCTAGGATGATGTCAATTAAAACAGATCATAACCTGGCTGAGGTTTGCATGGATGATTGGGCTGATCTTCTGAAGGAGTATCTACCGGAGGATAACTTGGCAGCGGGAACATACTACGAAATTCAGAAGTTGATTTTTAGTCTTGGTCTATCTTCTGAGATGATAGATGTATGTGTTTACAATTGTATGATTTTCTGGAAAGACAATGATCAGCTGGAGGAATGTCGATTTTGCCATAAACCAAGATACAGGCCTCAAACTGGTGGGCGTAAAAGGATATCGTACCAACGTATGTGGTATCTCCCTATAACTGATAGGTTAAAACGGCTTTATCAATCTGAAAGGACAGCTGCATCAATGAGATGGCATGCGGAACATACACAAGTAGATGGAGAAGTTGTTCATCCATCAGATGCAAAGGCATGGAAACACTTCAATATGGTATACCCAGATTTTGCTAAGTTCAAACGGAATGTCTATCTTGGTCTGTGCACTGATGGTTTTAGTCCATTTGGTATGTCTGGTAGACAATATTCATTATGGCCAGTAATCCTAACTCCTTATAACCTTCCTCCAGATTTGTGCATGCAAAGGGAATTTCTTTTCCTCAGTATTTTGGTTCCAGGTCCAAATCATCCGAAGCGAGCTCTCGATGTATTTCTTCAGCCACTCATACATGAGTTGAATCAGTTATGGTATACTGGCGTTCGTACATATGACTATTCTACGAGGAAAAATTTTACTATGCGGGCTGTACTTATGTGGACAATAAGCGATTTCCCCGCTTACGGTATGCTATCAGGATGGACTACACATGGGAGGCTATCTTGTCCTTATTGTCTTCATCAAACTGATGCGTTTCAGCTAAAACATGGTAGAAAAACTTGTTGGTTTGATTTTCACCGGAGGTTTTTACCGGATAACCATCCATATCGGAGGAACAAGAGGTTATTTTTGAAGAACAAAAGTGTACGTGTCCCTCCACCCGTTAATTTAACAGGAGCTGATATACAGGCGCAAATAGATCATTGGAGGGCAGAAGAAACAGTAACTCGTGGGGGAAACTGGCACACTTCTGCAAATATGCCTGAAGGTTATGGAGTTCATCATAATTGGCACAAGAAAAGTATCTTCTGGCAACTACCTTATTGGAAAGATCATCTGCTCAGACACAATCTTGATGTCATGCACATTGAAAAAAACTTTTTTGATAACATCATGCATACAGTTATGAACGTAGCGGGAAGAACAAAAGACAATGGTAAATCAAGATTGGACTTGCCTGATTTATGCAACAGAAGTGAGTTGCATCTACTGAGAAACGGGAAAACACCAGTTCCTGAATTTCGGTTGAGTGCAGATCAAAAGTCAGCATTGTTCAGATGGGTTTTTTCTGACGTTAATTTTCCTGATGGGTATGTCTCTAATCTTTCCAAATCTGTTGAAAAGGGGGTAAAGTTTGCTGGGATGAAAAGCCATGACTGCCATGTCTTTACGCAACGATTATTTCCATTTGCATTTGCTGAACTCTTGCCCAAAAACGTCCATGAAGCTATTGGAGGCATTGGTGCTTTTTTCGGGATCTTAGTACACGAACATTATCAGTTGATGTAATATCACAACTAGCATTGAATATTCCAATCTTGTTGTGCAATTTGGAAAAGATCTTCCCACCATCATTTTTTGATGTTATGGAACATCTT